GCGCAGTCCAGGAAAGGCAAACAGTCGTCCTTTGTGTCTTCCCTGGTGAACTTGATGTTTTTATCCACAGCGTTAATGTGCGCTGACCACATGCGCGCTTTGATGGAGCAGACTACTCCCGATGGAACCCTGCTGCTCATTTTGACATTAGCTGAGGATGCACTGCTTCATTTTTAAAACATTTTTTTAAAGAGGCAAGACTGAGATTTGAACATGTTGGACATGTGCAGAGGAGGGATAGTGGATATAGTGGACAGATGACGTTGGAGATGGAGCTGCTGCACAAAGAGGAGGTTCATGGACACGCAGAGGGACCGGGTGAGGCGCAGGCATGATCATCTGTTGTTGTGACCCCCAAACGGAGCAGCTGAAAAAGAAGAAGAATCTCATATCTGTGCAAGCAGATGTTCTCACATTTCCACATCTGTGTCACCGAGTCAGGGCGTTACTCCCCACACCTGACGGGATGAGACACAATGAAGCAGTGAGCTAAAATTAAAGTCAACTGCTGTCTCCTGTTTTGCCCAATAAAACCCCAAACCCCCAACATAGATACACACTTTCCACTTTGCGACTATTTACGACTAATTTTATGAACCGCTGAAGAAATCTTTGTTGCCACCTCGACTGCACACTTTCACAGTGACAGGTGACTGCGTGTGGTCATCGAAGGTTTGATGAATTCCTTTTTTTTGCATTTGCTGTGAAACTAAACGGAGACTGCGTTTACGCTGACACATGCGCACAGACACGCAAAGTCACTCCACGCTGAGTTTTGTCCCCCTTTTCCCTTTTAGGTAAGTCGTGGCAGACACCTTGATAAAAGTCGTGCCCTGAGTGCCCCCTTTCGGTCTCCATAGTAACTGCAGCATCTCGATCAGCCGTTCAAGCTGCTGCTGCTGCTGCTGCATGGTGATTATGAATCAGCAGCTGCTGGACTTGCTGAAGATGTGAATGAATAAATCAATGAATGTGACCTTGTTTGTAAAAGACAGCGGTGGGCAAACAGCTGTGGAGACTTTAGATTATTGCTCAGCATGTTTTTCTTTTTTCCCTTTTCTCCTTAGATGATGATGTTCCAATCAACGTGACCTGCTCTGCTCAGTCTAGAGGAACCTGTATCCGCTTTCTGCTTTAATGGTGTCTAAGGTCCAGCCTGTTTATTAACACAGTGTGCCAAAGCGGGTTTTAAACGCCGGAAAAAAGCGTCAATTATTAACTCGGTAATAGTGCTGGAAGTTTTTTTTTTAGTTTGGCTGTTACGCACAGACCCCGCCGCCCTGCCCCGCACTGTTACAAATGTTCTGTTTTTCGCACGGTCTGTTTGGTTCTGTTTCCCGGCGCTCTCTACCCATCTTAATTGGAAGTGGCAGACTGACGCACCGGTGGGAGTTTGCTCCGCTTTTCGTTGCACTCAACTGGGCACCGAGTACTCACCGAGCTGTGACGCGGATAAGAGGCGGGGTCAGCCTCGCGCATAAATATGGCTCAGCATCTAGACAGAAACACACTAGAGCGCAAGTGAGAGCACCGAGACACACAGAAAGCTGCTCACCTGTCTTTTACGCACAGACGAACGGCGCACATCCAGCCCCGGGTTTAAACATGATCAAAAAAATGTCGCCCTCCGAAAGCGATTTTGACATCCCAGCAAAGAACTGCTACAGGATGGTGATTCTGGGATCCACCAAAGTTGGCAAAAGTGCAATCGTATCCCGATTCCTGAACGGGAGATTCGACGAGCAGTACACGCCGACTATCGAGGACTTTCACAGGAAAGTGTACAGCATCAAGGGGGACGTTTACCAGCTGGACATACTGGATACGTCCGGAAACCATCCTTTCCCTGCTATGAGGAGGCTTTCAATACTGACAGGTACTTATCCACATTCCTATCAGTCTCCTTTTTTATACCAGAGAATCCTTATGTAAACTCAGAAAGCAAATGCGGGCTTTCTAAATGCTGCACGCACTCGGTCAGAGCGCACTTCGAGCGCTTTAGCGCGTGGCTGCAGGGTGCAGCAGAGCATCCTGTGCTTTATTGTAACTGTGCATACACACAGGGAGAAAATGAAAACACGTTAAACAAAAGCAAAGGCGGTTAAACAAAATAATATTCTCTGCTTTCAGGTGACGTGTTCCTCCTCGTCTTCAGCTTGGACAACCGAGACTCCTTCCAGGAGGTGCAGCGGCTCAAGCGGCAGATCTACGAGACCAAAATGTGCCTGAAAAACAAGATCAAAGAGAACATCGACGTCCCTCTCGTGATCTGCGGGAACAAGGGTGACAGAGAGTTTCACCGGGAGGTTCAGCAGGAGGAAATCGAGCAGCTGGTGGCCGGGGACGAGAAGTGCGCGTACTTCGAGATCTCCGCAAAGCGCAACGAGAACGTGGATAAGATGTTTCAGACTCTGTTTACCCTGGCCAAACTACCTCACGAAATGAGCCCCGACCTTCACAGGAAAGTGTCGGTGCAGTACTGTGACATGCTGCACAGAAAGTCGCTGAAAAACAAGAAGCTGAAGGACATCGGGGAAGCGTACGGCGTGGTGACCCCGTGCGCCCGGAGACCCAGCGTGCACAGCGACCTCATGTACATTAAAGAAAAGGCCATCGGAGGCGGCCACGGCAAAGACAAAGAGAGGTGCGTGATCAGTTAAGCGGACGCTGAAGCTCAGACTCTAATGACACGTTTGAAGGGAGAAGAGCCCGGCCTTTGTCAGAGCAGCCGGCAGCGATCAAACTGACACCGGAGGTTTGGAGACGCCGAGGCCGCCGCGCGCTCCGGTGAAGCTCCGTTTATAAAGGACACAGACTGGACACGAGTCCGCTAAAACTACCAAAAAAAGAAAAAAAGGTTTCCCACCAGACATTCGAGAATGTTAGCTTGCTCCGTCAACCAGAGCCCGATGTGTGAAGTGGCTTCATACTTTGTGAGACTCGCGCATAGATGCGTAAATGTGTTTTGTTGACGTTATACCTTTACAGACGGGAGAAAGAGAGAGAGAGACTCTTTGGGTGAGGAGGTGCAGTGTTTCGGGGAGGTCATGTTTACATCTTCTAGATTTTCTAAAGGCTAAGTACACTTGAATGTTTCGTTGCAATCTAGAGTATTTTTTATTGTGAATGTATATTTATTGTCACTGTCAATTTTCTCTTTTGCAGTAAAAAATATAAAATGTAATAAAAAACAAATCAACACAAATATTTATCTCTGTTTCTTCTATTTTATAATGTTAACATTTCTGTAGGCACCTTATAAATAGATGCATTCAAACAAGGAAGGGGGATAAAAAGCACAGCCCAAAATAATATCCTTCACATCTCCCATTTGGTCTTGTCATTCTGAGATGTCATGCTCTCTGGGACTGGGACGCTTCAGTATAACTGATGCAAATATCTACATTTTGCACTTATCCTGCAGAACCGAGCAGGATCTGTTACTTGTGCCCCTAATTCCAATCAAATAAAGACAATATAGTGCAGAAAAACAGGCTTTATTACCCAGAGAAAATCAATGCTTTCATGTTTATTTAAACTGCTCTCACTGGGGACAAGTCATATGTGTTAGTACCTCACTAACTGCAGGAAGACTGAAACAGACCAAATTAAGGCAATCTAAAATGTGAAAATCACTCTACCCCACCTGCAAAATAATTTGAGGTCTATCCAGGAATTGTAAATACTATTAAAAACATGCTTCAAAAGCATTTTAGTGAGCTGTTTTGCATCACACGGTGGACGCTTGTGATACAAATATGCAGATCATGTCCCTTTAATGTCCAGATTCTTCTGTCCTTGAGTGCTCTGGAACATTTTAAAAACGTAATAGTAAAATTCAGGACAAAAACAGTAATAATTTGTTCTTATGTTTTTCTACCTTGCCACCTGCATTTAGAAGTTCCAGCCTTCTCCCCCCGAGACAAGGCAGAGACTCAATGTTCGGTACATTCTCTGTGTGTGATGTCTTAAGTGCTATCAGCAATAATTCTGCATACTGTATCTTGGCAAAGAGACAGAGAACATCTTGCGTTAACCTGAGAGAGAGGAAAAGTCTCTCAAAGGCCAGGGTCAGAGGGCTGTACTATAACACTGCCCTCTAACTGTTCAGTTACACCATGTGCTCCCAACTGCATTCATTGTGAAGATCAGCAGGCTAATGATCTTATTATCTCCACACTGATAAGACGACGGCAACACTAATTGGCCTGGTGTGACGCTCGAGTGAAAAAAACCTAAGATCACAATGTACGTTTACACACAGCAACTCCCCGTGAACACACATTTTTCATTATTATCAACAAGCACCATCACATATGCCAAAGGCGTCAACACGCGCACCAGCATCAGAACGGGGAGGAAGGCCAGTGACACATTGTAAATAAGGACAGAATGTGCCACACGGGCCAGCAGCAGCTGCACAACGAGGAAGTGCGCTGGAATTCTGTTTCTTTCTTTTTTCATCTCAGAATGTCTCTACAAATGCTGTTAGCTGGAAGTATTTTAATGACAGACTCTCAGGTATTGCAGACATTCCAGTGAATAAAGAGTGGTTTGGTGTTTCTTATCATGCTGAGAGCAGGTATTTAGTCTCAAGCATCTTTGCTCCATTTCATCAGTAATTACTCTCTATCAAATCAGGACGCTACATGTCTTCGTGATGAGTGCATTTATGCTCAGACACTCATCTAGTCTCTAGCACCCCTGATGGTCGGTTGGCCTCAGACAATTGGCTACCAGCAGTCTGTGTTCACATCTATTTGTGCTGTTCCATAATGCAATGCACAAGAAAGTGATGCTTTCTTGTGCATCAAGAAAGCATAAGAAGTGATGCTCCAAAGCATAAAAAAAATCATAAATTGTTCATAAAAATGAATTACTGAACAGCTCCCCAGGGGTAACAGCAAATGATCAGCTGGTTTCAACATAGGTGATAAACCCCTTCTCCTCCGGTTTCCAAGTATCTAAGTACGTTTTTTGAAGTTATATTTCTCTGTTTTTCCACTAACTTTGTTTAAGTATAGTTTTAAGTATCTTTGTGCCTCTGTAATTATTTAAAATACTGTTTTAACTTATTTGAATGTGTCAATTGTTGTTGGTCAAACAACAAAGTGACATGTTTGTTAGTGAAAAGCATCCTTTTTTTAAAGTTTTGTTTTTATGAAGCTCGACACACTATCAAGTCAATGCTAACATAATAGCTGTTAAGCTAGGAATATAGCCATAGAAAGTATAACAGATGGATGTAGCTTCCGGGGGTGAAAAGCTAAACCTCCAATCTTTTTTGGCAAAAAAAAGTCTATTTAAAGCCCTGATCGTAGGAAGAAAAACACTAAGTCTGGTGTTAAAACTATTAGTCTTTCTAAGTATCAGAAAGGAGGATTATCCAGATTGGCTGGTTGACAAGCTGTTAGCCGATGTGCATTATGTTTCTCGGTCAGACTAACCCCTCGTAATCACATAGATTTTCAAAGCTCCAAGATCACGACTTTTAAAACGACTTCTCAAGGTTTTAAACAGAACTTCACCAACTGGTGACAATGTTAACTGTGTCCATGTCTTTTTAATATGTCTATGAACACAACTAATCAATGGCATAGCTACACATCAGCTAAAAGCAGCTAGCTGATGTGTAGCTAGCTAACTAGATATTTATGCTAGCTAATAAGCCGATTGTTATTTTTCTTTATCTATAAAAACCAGTGATGAGTGCTCAGTGAGCAACATAAAAGTACAGCGAAGACTGCGGCAGTTGGACTTTACGAAGTTCAAGGTATGTGCTCACATTTGGGCCGGGCAGCAGGTCTCCCCAGTAGAAGATTTCAGTCCTCCATGTTTCTGCCATATTTCGGCTTTACTTCCAAGTGTTGACACATCCTTCATATTTATGTACATATAAATCTTACTATAATGATCTACGTTACTGCTATAATGACGTATGATATACATGCTATAGTGATATTTGTCTGTATGTACTCTATTTTCACCAGGTAGATGCAATCTCAACAAAACTTTGCACGGACATCATCACACATACAGTGATTATTAACTTCATTATAACTCCAAATTCTTTGGATTTTCATTTTTATATTATGGTCATTTCATCCTCTTTGAATGTAATGACACATTCTCCGTTTGCCTTTGTTTCATGCTCAACGTACATTGTCTGTACCTAACTTAACTGTCACCAAATCTGTTTTGTTTTACTCACCACTAAATATGGAATAAAGAATTTGAAAAACGCCAGAGGCCTGCCCTGTATAATCAAACTAGATATCTTAGGAAGCCCAGGTATGGAAAATAAACAGTAGTTTAAACATACTCACTACGTTGTCTACCAATTAAGTCTATTTTCAGCATGATTGATGTTTACTGCTGCACACAGCGCATCATTTCTTTAGCACAAAACAAGTTATAAACTCAAAGTGCTCCTCACAGGACAAAGTCAGACCTAAGGGTATACTTTCACACAGGTGTTGCCACTATGTGTGTGATCAGTTTTGCAAAAGGTCGTCTAAGTCACCGATCATAGTAATAATAATTAAATTGCTGCAAATAAGACGTATTCGTATCGTATTGAATCCCCGTTTACGAGGTTTAAGCAGTCCTTGAACTTCTGCAAAATAGAATATGTGTACACGTTTCTCAGTTTATTATGCATAATGTAAATGTAAATCTGCAAATGGTTTGTTTGGACTAATCTCAACCTTAGAGGAATGTCCAAAAAGTAAGAACCAACCAAAACATTTTTACCTTCAAGAAATGTTGATTCTTTCAAAACCAAATGCAAAACCATAAATCCTTTTAACTGTCATTCACAGCGTTGTCCTTAATACACATAATCATGTCCAAACTGTTTTGAAAGAAATAGAAAGATTTACATCAAATACAAAATAGGAATACACTCACAGACACACACACAGTACAAGGCCTGCATAAAGTCTGCGCACAATCCAAAATATAAAGAATCGTTGAGTTTCTTAGACTTCTTAGAAGTTTATTACAGAAGCAAGAGCTGTCATGACGTGATGTAACAATCAGGCCTGACATGCGTCATCAAAGGCAGACACGATGAGAGAGATGGGGCTGTAATTACTTACTTGATGACTAATGATACAGTGGACGTCTGTGGGATCCTACTTATGCAACACTATGCCGTATTTACAGAGAGCTTGAGAACATTAGGTAGTTAGCAGGGGTGAAGAGGTAACTTTATGCGTGGAGGGATGTTGTCACAGGTGTTCTGGGAGATAAGGAAGAAGAGCAGTGTTGGAATGTAAACAAATAAATCTAACCAAGTGCTGAACATAAAAACACTTTATTAGATGGAGTGGAGTTTGGATTTTTACTTACACGTATCGTGGACATGAATGACTGTCTATGATTTCTTTGCATCATTCTCTTTCTGAGGCAGAAATAGCATACAATATATAGCTATGTCGATATTCTTGTCCAAATTTTATGTTCAGGTAAACATTCCATTAGTAAGTTGCACCTTAACTAGACACTAGCCATCAACAAGCTTCTTGTATAACTATGGTTGCAAGAGGTCAAGAAGTATGACATATTTATGAATGGCCAGCTTACTGTTAGCCAACTTAATTCATTCCACAATTGGCTTAAATGTGTGTTTGGGGTCACTTTCCTAAATAAACACCCCTGTTCACAAGTTTCTACCCGTCTTAGCTCTTTAAGTCCCTTTACCCCATAATCCACCGATGACCTGCTGCCTTTGACTCTGGATAATATTCTCCAAAACTCGTCTCTGTTAATGCGCCATGTGTTCCTGGGCCTCCTCCTCTTCCTCTTTCACTGTGGTTTCCAGGCCGTCCTGGCTGGTGAAGTTAC